CGGGCGCTGCCCGCCGGCTCGCAGCGGGGTGGTGCTGGGTCGCTACTGCTGCCCTGGCAGACACCCAGGATCGGCTAACCTCTAACAGACCCAGGGTGAAATATACTATGGCTAGCTTCGCGTGCTGATGCGAAACGCTGTTCGGTGGAGCTGCTTTTCACTTCGTCACTGCCATTTCATGCTCTCCTAATGCCTGTCAAAATCCACAGGTACCTTTTGTACCCAAAGCTCTGGCTGTTCTCTCACCACAGACAACTTCACTACCCGAACCTTTTCTTAAGCTTATTAGAATATCAAGCATGTGCTTAACAAAGAGTCCTGTTATCTCCATGGTTTTAGGAGGAATCATTGGACACATTGAGGTCTCTAAGTCAGCCGTTGTCCCTAACAATAGGGACAGTTGCCATGTGTGACACCTACTCTCAGCAGGTTAAGGAGCGGTTGGTGGGAGCAAGGCACAGTGCTGACTACTTGTGTGCAAGACGGTGCTCTCTATAGGCTGCTGGACAGACACCCCCTTTCCAGCTGCAGTGGGTGAGAACAGTTTCTCGTGGGAGCCTGTAACCAAAACAAACCTGACTGCACTAGCTAGGGAAACCACACCACAGGCTGTGTCCCCTGCTCTGTAGGCAACACGTGACCTGGGCAGTGACTCGATCACCTTGTGAGATGCTTCCATCCTCGCCCCAATGGATGTTCAATGTCTCTTCAGTATTTCCTGTTGCTCAGTTTGTGCAAAACAGCGCTCTCCTCGTGTCACTGAGGAGGTTTCATGCTTAGGTCCTGGTTCCTGGGTATGCCTTTTACTTGAGAGCTTAAGCACCTGCCTTGAGGTTGTGAATTCCAGCTAAGCTGAGACATCCAAGGTTTAGCTGACAACTGTCGCTGCATCACTTAAGTCTCTCATGCACATGTAATGCCAGCAGAGCCTCAGGCAGTTCAGAATCCCAGCTACAATTGTTCAGGCTTCTTCCATGGCCTGTAACTGATCCAAAGGTTTTACCTGCCTAACAAAGCTCAAGTTCTTCCTAACTCTGTGCTGTAAATAGATGAGAACATATTCCTGTCATATCACATATCAAACTTGGTTATAACTGTAGCTTTATAACTGAAGGCAGGGAGAAAGACTTCCTCATTTTATACATCCCTGAGGCTGCTGTCAGTTTAGTCTGGCAATGACACGACATCTTGTATGTAATTTTTTACGTTCACATTTTTAAATTCCTTACTACAGTCTTTACAGTAGCGATGCATTCTCTCTCTGTATATAAATTCTGAAACTAAATTAGGGAAGAGCCCATATTGGTGACGATGTGTAAGACTACCTATAATAGGCATGAGAGAGGAGAATCCTAGATGTGGGATGTCACTGTGTGCTGGTGTTTTTAAAAAGAATAATTGCAATCTATTGTTACAGTGGTAAGAGCTGCTGGGGAGATAAGTTTGGAGGTAACTGGGCTAGAGAGTTGACCTCCTGCCCAGGGCTCGCCAGACCTGTGTTACATCCGAGCTTTGGGTCTGGCCTGTGGCAGGACTGTATGCCTGTTCCTCCTATGCTCTGTGCCTCTCTTCTTGTATAAGAAAAGCTTTGCTGCTGCTCTCCTCTACTAAAGCACATGATATGTGTAGATGGAAGTCATATTAAATAAATGCAGATTACTTGTACTTGGTGAAGTTGCTAAAATGAAATCTCTATTAACCAGAGCTCTCTAGAGGTCTTCAGTACTTCTGGGGATTCTGATTTGTAAATAACTGCAATAACAAACCATACAAAAATAAACCAAAAGATCTACCTCCTGATGACAGATTACTTTTACTTAGATATCCCAGAGTGCCTCTTACACTGGATACGTATAAGCTGTGGATTTGATGTCCAACTAATTAGCTGTGCGTTTGGCCAGCCAAAAGCGTGTGTGTGCGTGCACACATGCATGCATAGGGATTTGAGAGTGTGCTCTGAAATATGGGAAAATGAAGGGAGCTTTCTTCCATTCACTCCTTCGCTCCCAGGCAGGAAGTCAGGCTTTAGATTGTGGTATATTTCTGCAATAACTCAGTAGTAATAATAGGCTAAATCAATCTGATGTGTCTGGTTTTTACAGCACCCAATAAATATTCCCACCTAAATCTCCCACGACTTAATTTTTTTCTGAAAGCTGCAGGACAAGAGAATAAAGCACTCTTATGTTTTCAGTGACCTCTAAGAATGTCTAATATTTGGGAAGGGTCTGTTTGAAACAATGATTGATATTAGACATAATGCGTGTTTGATTTGCCCTAGAAGCAGGAAATCCTTTTTAAAGCCCGGTTCCTAGAGGATGTCTGCCTTAAAGTGCATGAATAGCTTCTTCTGGTATGTAAGGAATTACCTATATGTATATAAAGTAGGACTTGGTACCATGTTGAATCAGGATCTTGCTTTCCTAGGATACAATTTTAGCCAAGAGCATTTTACTTCATATCCAGGCATACTTACGTGAATACTTCCATCCCCCATCCTGCAATGGCTGTGAAGAGCCTTGGGCCTAGATCCCGGGCTGGATTCATGGCACAGCCACTGTTCATTCCCAAGGAGCAAGTAAGAACAATTATAAGAAGTCCTACTGCGATTGGCTCCAGGCCCTTTGGTACACTGTTATTTCTGGTGTCAAAAATAGCAAATATAGCCAGAAGAAGAACAGCTGTCGACATCACCTGGCCAATGCAAAGAAAAAGAATATTGAATAAATACGTGTAGATTCCTTGCAGTAATGAAAAGAGAGGCCATGGCAGCTCTGTGGATTGTGGTGGCTTAGAGCTGGTATTTAGATTTATCCCACTGTACAGAGTAGCAAAATTTGGAGCCCAGTGCCTCTCTACTTCACAATAAGGAGAAGTTTAGGTATCTGTGCTGAAAGAAAAAGACAATGTGCTGAGGACATTTGGGGGGGAAATCCAACAAAAAACCCCCCAAAAAACCCACACCAAAACCTAAGTCTACAACAACCTGGTGTGGAAAGAATTTTGTTTCCATGTTTTTTTTCCTATCAATATACTTGATTCTTGGTAGCTCTGCTATGCCAATACAATCAGTTACATTGATATCAGTGTTTATGTGACACTAGCTTACACTGATAAAGAGCTGCATATTTAGTTTAATTTAGGTATTGAATAACATTTAAAAATAAGTCTAGAAAGTCAAAACTTGGCAACTAAAAATTTAGGAATAACCTAGATTAAGGTTGCACTTGTAACCGTAATGTGAATTCTGCATTGCATATGGTAATTGAGCTGATGAAGGAAACTTTCTTGGAATTACTTTGATGGAGTGCTGCTCTACTTAAATGCTTTGTAAATATCAATTTTGCTTATAATTAACTTAGGGGGAAAACAGACAGAAGTTTTGGTAATGTCAAAACCTTCGGTTTCTAGACTGACTTGAAGCTTAAGTTTGGGAGTTTAAAAAATGATTTCTATTTTATCCATTTCTATTTTAAAACATCCATGGGCAAAAACATCTTACAGAAAAGTCTGACTGATCCAAAGCAAGAATCAGAATTGTCTTTCTTACAAAATTTCAAAACAATATTTGGATTATTTTGAAATCAGATTTCACAACCTTCAAGTCCTTTACATAAGGAATTCCTGTGCTCCAGCAATCCCTAGTTTTTTATATCTTAGTTATGTAGTGTTTATTTCATGTATGCCTGAAGAAGACAGGTAAATTGATTAAAAGTAGATAGAAGATGTGAGACTTCATTTTTCACTGTTGAATAAGTGGGATTACAAGATGCAGATTGAAAATAAAGTGGAGATGTTTTTCAAGACTGTCACTTGAAAAATAATAAATATTGCAAATCTATTTCCAAAGAGAATGTTGGAGAGAAGGTAGCTGAAAACTCAGTTGTTCAAGGTGTGTTAAAGTGGCTACTTAAGCATTACTTAAGGAATAATAGGTCCACGAAATGGGCTGATTTTTGATGTAAATGGACATATCTCTGCTGAAGTTTATGGAGAAACATTCATTTATGCTGGGGAAAACATCTTACATATATTGCATTGAAGACGTGGAGTGCAACAATTAATATGATATATGTGGAAAGAACAACTTGAAATTATCTTGCTTGTAAAATGTACCCCCTTGCAAACAGCATTGCATTCTCGTTGCTGTTGTACACAGTGATGTATGACCAAAACAGTGAGAGCCATCAGCCCCATTAGAGCTCTGTGGGATTTTTTTTCTGCTTGGTTTTACAGTTTTCCATATGCTTAATTTGTAGAATCAAGACCACAAGTGCACTTACCTGATCTGCAAATCCATTTATGAGGGACAGATATGGAGCTGGGTATGTTGCAAAGATATGTGCTGTTGCATTAGGTCCTGTGACTTCAAGTGTTCCGTTGCTATACTCCATAAAGGCATCTACAGAAAATAGCCATTACCTGGTTGCACTTCTCCAGAAACACTAGAATTTCTAGGACTGGAATATATACCACAGCTCTGTACACTTCCCATTCTGAAGTGAAACTGCTAATTTTTTTTCTGGGAGCATGGTTAACAGATTTGAGGTCATCATGCCCACCTGTCTCATCTCCCCTGTGCTCTGAAGTATTTGTTTGATGCATCACAGATTTCAAAACAGGGCTGTTTTTTCTTTTCCCTGCGCATTGCTCCAAACGCAGTGCCAAGGAGCATTTTCTGATTCTGAACAGAGTTGCATTATTCTGGAAGAGGTGCTCTAATTGGTGTGATGCCCCCAAAAATGCATGGTGTCCCGATTTGTAGTGTTGTGGATTTCCAGCTACCAGGAATGATGCTATTCCATTTGACAGTTGTGCAATGACTGCTTCTGGGAATGAACTCTCCTGAGAGACCTCCTCTTCTAAAGGAGTTCTGAGTTTTTCACTCTGCGTGGGCTTCACGCCCAATGCTATGCTAGTCATCCAAGATGTGAGGGGAGAGTCTAGCTCCAACATTCAGTTCCTCGTATATTTAAGTTAGTGTATTTTTAGATATATTGTGAAGATTTAATGCTCATTGTAAATATTTGTATATTTATGTTAGTATATTTAAAGCCTATTTTAAATAGTATAATATGACTTTCATGATGGAAAAATTTGCTGCCTTGGCAAGCCCTGAAATGTTAGAAATAGGAAGACACTAAGATGAAGCACTCAAATCTGCGTAAACAGACATGAATAATAAACGCTATATCTTTATTTCACTAGTGGATCCAGTGATGAGGTGATACTTGTGAATAAAGAAACAGCTCCCTGTCTCCCATGAAAGTCATGGTGAGGGTGGTTAGCTTCTGAAGTGGATCCAGTGATGAGGTGATACTTGGGAGACAGGGAGCTGTTCCTTTATTCACATGGAAGTCATGGTGAGGGTGGTTAGCTTCTGAAGCCAGCAGGCTATTTCTCCTTGCCCCATTTTTATAGCTTTGCTTTAAGGCCATGGCATGGGTGCAGAGAATATTTAGTTGTTTACTTTTATCAGTCTCATTTGCAGTGTCAGATTGTTTTGTTGCATTTAAGTTGCAAAAAGGAAAAAGTACAGCAGAGGCTTGGTAATTAGTAAGAACAAGATGAGAGCAAAGTACTTGAGCAGAGACAGGGATATGTGAAAATCCTGCGCTCCTGATTAACAGGAAGAAGTCATTAACCCTAACCCTAGCCATACATTCCCTATCTTGGCCCCTATCTTACTGCTGCCTTTTGGCAGAACACAGTGAATCCTGTTCTGGAATCCCACAGCTTCCAAATTCTAACAGTAACCTTAAAACAATGCTACTCCCTTCTCCCCAAACCTAAACCAACAAAAAAACCCCACCAAACCCATGACAGTTACCACAGTTCCTAAGGAGTTTTCTGTTTGTGACTACTACTGGTACGGAGCACCTAGCTGAATTGCAATAGGCATGTCCCTTTTCGTTTTTCTCTATTGCACCCAGACCCAGCACTGTCCTGAGGCATAATGCCCATAGGAGAAAGGCTTTGGAGGAGATGGGCTTGGACAAGAAGAAAGGTTTTGGAGTAGGTGCTTGAAGCAACTGGTCCAACTGAGCAGATTCATTGAGTCGGAGTCCGTTCAAGTGTTTTTCCCTTTGTGGCACACTGTAAAAGAAACATGCCTCAAGAACAGGGGTGATCTTTTTTTCTTCTCTAATATGTGACCCCTTTGTCACTCTACCTGGAGTTCATTGCCTTGGAGAGCTACCTCTCTAGGGTGGCCTGAAGTTTAGTCAGGAGGGACTTGATCTCATATCCTGTAATCTCAATGAACGATGTTGGTGATACTTGCCTACAGGCACTTGGATCAGATCTCTAATGTTTCTAATTTGCCTAGAAGATGAATAGCCATATATCCTGGCTATTAAGTAATTTAAAATCCTTACTGAGAATTACATGATCTCAGAGTATCTGATTTCCCATTAATAAGTTTTCTGAATTTCAGAACATTTCCTGGAGTATTAGTGTTTCAGAGAAGTTGTAGGATACCTGGAACGTTTGAGCCTTTTCCCTTCAAACTCTTTATGCTTTTTTCGTTCCTCTTTATGGCTTTAGCTTCAGTCCTGCCATTAGCCCTGTGTGAACAGAGTCCTCTGCCTGCTTGGCATTTATTGAAAAACTGGGGCCTTAGAGACTGCCTGACCTCTAGTTTGTCCTGTGAGCATGTCTAAGGTGTACTCACCATAATAAATCCCAAAGACAGACGCTGCTCCAACAAATGCTCCCAGGAGTTGTGCTAATATGTAAATTGGTAATTTGGTCCATTTTAATCTTCCAGTCATGCACATGGCTAATGAAACGGCTGGGTTTATGTGACCACCTGAAAAATAAATCACAAAATAAGTCATATAGATGACTCAAATACATGAGAATAGGTGAATGATTTGTAAAAGTGTGTGCGCTTTTTGAGTACAAGACTAGTATGTGCTTTTCTAGATGTTATTTTGCAACTAAATGCTGACTGCAATTAAATGGAAACAAGTAGGATGAAAACTGGAGGTGGGGTGGAAAACTAGTATCCACCAAGATCCAGCTTCCCTCTTGATGTTTGCAGACTGTGCTATTTATCATACTGCTGTTCTGCAGTATATAATCTATAGACAACCTTTCCAGAAAATCTTATATCTGTCCTATTGGTTGTGATGGGGGGGTCCATCATTCTGCATATATTCTCTTTCCTCAAGGACTTTGGCTTTTTATTTTTAAGGGAGGATTGGGGCAGCAGAACATGTATTCAGTTTAGCAAGCATGTATTAAGATTAAGGACTATTACTGGCTGGATTGTATCTTGAGGCAGATCTGGAGTACCTTGGATTTAACTCACATATATGTTCCTGACTTCAGCCTGGGGTTACTTAGGAATTCAGTTTTCATGAACATAAAATAATGTTAGGGTTGTCCAGCCTCATGCTGACTGCTGGTGAGCAATGCCCAGATCGGATCTGGGGACAGCAGTCTGTAATTCATCATCACACGTCTTCATCAAGCTCTTGCACCCTCCGGAAAGGTCCACTATAAAGAAACTGATAAACTAGTTGTGCTGAAACAGTTCTATTTCCTGTGGAATTTCCTTCCTTTGTATTTAGAAGTAACTGCACTTGAAAGCACACATGGAAAAGATTTCCACAACATTGGAATTCTTTGTGACAACTTAGTTTCTAAAATATATTTATTATGTCACATGTTTGTCACTTTCCTCAGTATCTCTTATCAACATGGAAAAAAGTGTTGAATGCTTCTGGAAAACTTAATTTTTTACAAATATGTAGATGATACTTAAGAAACACCAATTGCCAAATAAAGAAACAGATGAAACAGTACTCCACAGTAAAAATACAGTAACCCCAAGTTTTGCAAGGATGTAGCAGATCCATTGCTTACCTTGCAGGTAAAGTCTCATTTCAGCCTTTATGATTATCAGAAAAAAAAATGGTCTTTGTCTTTAATAAAATAACTAAAGAGTGTGACCTTTGTCTGTCAAAGGCTAGTGATGGAGACAGGGCCTCTGTGTACAGTTTCTGTGTTTGCTTGCACTTCAGGTCAGTGAGTCATTATCTTATGAAATCCAGGCACCTTTGATACATAATGAACTGACAAACACAGATAACAACCTGGATAAAACCTTCTTTGTATCATTTCCAAAACTCTGACCTAGTAGCAGCAGTCTTGAATTAATTTTGAATTCCTTACTGTGTTTCAAATTCTTCAGCACAGAGCCAAATAGATGGATGGCACCTTATTTTAACAGCCCTTCATGTGAATTTTGATAAATTGTTGTCTTGTCTTTTGTTCTTTACTCTGGCTGGAATGAATAATTTTCCTTTCTTTCAACACCTAATATTGTTCCCCACCTGTATATAATACAAGGTGATTATGATGGCCAGGACAAGTCATAGTAATATTAGAGATGTTAGATTAACATTAAATCTGAAAAGGAAAAGTCTAGTTGAAGGCTGTCTTGCTGACATAGAGTTAAAAGATTATTGGTTCCTGTGCCACTGGTAGTTTCCTGGTTTAAAAAAAAAAAGTCTGCTTTGGACAACATGTTCCCGGTTCTTTTGTATTTGCGGTGATCCCAGTTATGAGTTCATTTGAAATGTGAAGTTGGGAAAAGGGGTGGGAAATTATCTAGATACTGAAGAAAATTAGATGGAGAAAAAGCAAAGAGGGCAATTTTCCTAGATAAGAACTCAAATTCACCAAGGGTGCAGACTATATATTTAATGTTACCATGCATTTAGAATTTTATGAAGAACTGATGCAAAATATTTTAGCAGGACTTCAACATGAGACTTCATGGGCTAAGAGTAATAGAATTTGCTAACAAATTCTACACAGGATATTCTGATATAGAACTGATATTCTAAAGTGTCCACTAGTAATAATGTGTTGGAGAGTCACAGTCTATTGAAATATCTGTTCCTGTTCTTTCACAGAGAAAATGCACTGCCTGCAGAATCCTTTGTCATGGGAAAAACACAGGAAGCACAATACTGCAACATCTGCAATTGCTCTGCCCTGCTGGGATTGAACTCTAATCTTCTATATAATGGAGATGAATATCCCTTAAAGATGGAAATGTAAGGCAGGTTAGTGTTTTACAGTTTTCTGTGGTGTTTGTGTGTTGTTGTGTGGGGTGTGGTTTTTTGGTTTTGTTTTTTTTTTTTTTTATGATACTGCATTGGAAGAGTTCACCTGCCTAGATGTAACCCAAAGGCTGTAGTTGAAAGTTGTTCAGATAATAGGAATGTACTGCTCAGTTAACTGTGTGGTATTAAGGAACCATTCTGCTCTGTTTCAATGACAGTAACGAGGCTGCCTGTTTTTCAGTACCTTGAGCACTTTCTATGGTGTACTCTATAAACCTTCTCATGCATGGTATCTCTGTAAAAGAATTATAAAAAAATAAGAGGAATGGCCAGAGTAATTTCTGCTATATCCACTCTTCAGAATGGCCTGGTTTTACCTAGAGATATCTGCCCAGATCAACTTCATCTTTATGAAGGGTAAGAAATGCCTTCATAAGAACTGGAGTACAAGGGCACCATTTGCTTTAAGAGGGCAATATAAACTTCACATACAACACGGAGTATTGTGTATTGTAACACACAACACTGTGTATTATTATAACCCATCATTTTCTATTTTAAAGGGAAAATTTTAATGTTAAATCCAGTTATGCTTATGTTTCTGATATAAATTTGGCCAAACTGAATGGTGGAAGTAGGAGACAAAGTACCATCTGATATGGCACATGTAGACACTGATTAGTTAGACCAGCTACAGACAAGAGAGACTCCTGACCAGTATATATTTTGGAAATGTTATAGCAAAAACAAAGGGGTGAGGAGAGTACACTGACATTGTAGCACAATGTTTCTCTGCTATTGAATCTTTTTGCCGTTTCTGCTTTCTGTGATCTTTAAGTGAGCAGACTGTCACAGGACATGGCAAGGTAAGTTGCACTCTGTAAGGTGAATCTGGCTCATCGTGCCCATTACTGGGTTATTCTACCTTCTACCTAGCTGGTGACTGCTGGTTTGTGTGAGCTTTTCCTAGTTATTTCCTTAAACCCAGTGCCCACGCCCTCCAGGGTCACCTCTATTGACAGAATTTACAGAGCAAGACCCAGCAGATTTCTGGCTTGCACAGACCACTTTCCATAAAGGCCAGAGGTCTGCCAAGGTGTGCACACTGTAGTTCAGATCAGAATTTGGTGGAAGATTCTATTACATGCAAAAAATAGAAGGAAGCAAGAACACAAAAGATTTACCAGCGAAACTCTGATGCAGACTCTGCTTCAGTGGTGTTTGCTATTGCTAGATACATAATAGTTTATAACATGAAATGGAAATAACTTAATAAGGTAACCTTAAAACTGTGGCAATAAATGCTATATAAGAAAAAAGTCACTTACCAGAAACCCCCCCAGACACATACACTGCTATGGTGACTGCCATTGCAAATCCAACTGATACTGTCATGGGCCCACCATGGGCTCCTCGGCTAAGGACAGCCTGTCCCACACACCCACATCCAAGCACCTGTATTTGAAAATATAAAGCTGTAAGTGTCTCTGTGTTACTGGTTAGTTTGCAACTCCTGCTGCTGTCCAGGTATAGCCAAAAATGTTAAATACTGAAACAATACTAGAATTTGGGATTAGTGGCATATGTGCCGTGGTTGCCTTTGCTGCAATGAAAACTTGCTCTTCATTTTCTTCTGTTCTGTGGCCAGGAAGAACATCTACTAATAAGGACCTCTCTTTCCCCAGAAAACAGTTTTCAAGTATAATGATGGGATACAGATCAGAAGTCAGAGCCTAAACAAGATCTCATGGTCTCTGCAACAAATTCCTGCATCTGAAAGTGAAGAGGAAATTCATTGTGTGGTAAGTTTTTCAGTTTCAGATTGTTGTAAGCAATGAGAAAATTACTATAAGAGTTCTGAAAGATAGTTGAAAAAGGTTTTAACGTTTAATGCTGAAACTCCGGAACGAGACAACTTTCTGGAAATGAGTGTTACTGTTATGCTGCCTTGACATCATATATTGCTCTATCAAAATACTTCACTGGCTCAGCAGTTTGAACAATTAACTGAAGTGGGGATACCTCAATAGTTCACATTGGAGTATCTTCCATGGATTTAAACTAGCTTCCATTTTGTGTTGCTTCCTCTCAGAATGAAATTCAGCAAAACATTTACACGTATGCTTAAGATCACGTTTATTCAGTTCTAAAGCTTCTGCTTAGCTTCAAGAATATATTTAGGTCCTATTAAAGTTGGTAGGAAACATTTTTCAAAGGCACAAAAGGCCTTTAGTTTGAAAGACTTGCTGATCTGATTCTGCCAGAAATGAATTTGTGTCTTTGAAAAACTCCTTTTCAAATGTATGCCTAAGTGATTGGCTGAATAAGGACCCAAACACTATGGAAGATATCAAATAATATCTATAGTCTGAGAACTTTTGCTTCTCTGCAGCTGTAAGTGATCTGAATCATAACATTTCTGGGATGTGATTAGATTTATCTTGAGCAGCCTTAATTACTTTGGTGTTAAATTGGATATCTATATTGTGTGTATATATGTTTCTCCTTTGATGGTATAAGGGAATCTGGATTTTTTTCTTCCTATGAAATCATTCTGCCTTAGCTAATTTAGTTGCTTTGGTTAACCTCCCTGCTTTGCTTTAATGTTCTGCCATTACTGTGTTGTGTCACCAATGTCTGTATTGCAAATATTCTTCCTAACTATGCATATTTGAATACATAAAATATAATTCTTTCAGAAATTGTGATTTTCAGTAACAAGTCAGTTACATTAGGAAATGGCAAAGTAGTGGGAAAACTGCTCCTGCTTTAGAAATGGACTGTAGCAAAAAGATTACATGATTGAAGTTTAACAAGCAAGTCCTACTGGAATAGATGCAACTTTAACAGGCAAAAACATCCTTCTGTTTCCATTATTTCCCCAAGAGTTTTAACTAATACCAAACTGTGACAGAAAAGCTCTCAATAAAATTATGCTCTTAACCAGCTTTGCAATGCAGACGGAGTTTCTGTTGTAAAAGTGCCCTGAGACTGTCACATATCCAAGCGCAATTCTTGCCTTGAGGTTATAATCACGCAAGCAAACAAAACACTGCCTGGTGCCAAAGTGTTACAGCTGTCAGGTTACGAAAGGCTAGGGTGGTGTTAGATAGCAGCCGTTTATTGGACTGTATAATTAAAAGTTAAAAGATATTCTGGGCTGCAGTCAACTGCTGCGCAATGGGTGACGTACGCTTACGTTAGGCTTCTCTCACTGCTGTTAGGATCGTATACCTAGCAATTCAAACGGTAAGCACAAATGCACATACAGAGATAAAACATAAACAAAAAAAGTTTTAGTTGTTTGCAGCTGAAATTATATGTTCTTTTAAAACTTCATATGATAATTCTACTGCTCATGTATTTATATCTTTAATACATAAAGAATTGGTATGCTGGAATTTATAAAGTTTAAGATTAGGGCACAAGGCTAAAGGAGGTGGGATTAGCATGCTCTAACCTTCATTTTCCAGTCTTCTCAAAGGGAGTGTTCCAGAAACTGCATCAAGCAAGATTTAGTGAGAGATATGGCTCAGATGTGCAACAAGTTCAGTAGGCTGGTCTGGGGCACTGTGTGCACTAGGGTGCATTTTGCATTCAGGCAAGCAATTAGATCTACAAGAATGCGCTTGCATTCTGAAATGGCACAGACAAAGCTTCAAAAAGATTATTCTTTTGAAAATATTACCCTTTCCTGTAAGGATGATGAAGAGGAGTGGGAGAGATGGGTACAGGAAAACCTAAGGGACAATAACATATGTGTGTATCAACTACAAATTCAGAAGAGGGAAGGAAATTACAAAGGGAGGCCATGGTCTCCTCTGATTACCAGAAAACTGAATCTAAAAACAAGAAAGCATGCATGCCAGCTTGAACACAGCTGCACTGGCCTTGTGCTTGGTGGATGTTGGTAAATGACTGCCTGCTCATGTACAGTGAATGAACACCACTGCAGACACAGTCACTGCATCCCCATTCTGGGATGGGGAAGGTGGGAACTCAACCTGCACATCTGAACCATGCCCCAGTAATATTTTTTACAATGCTGTCAATGTAAGAAGGAGAGGAAAAAAAATTTCTCATACCTACTGTAGATAGGTTGACACAACTGGAAACTATCACCTAATTGTGTAATTATCTGAGCAGCAATTTAATACCCTGTGAATCTTTGTTTGGCTGAGTTAAGGCCAACGAGATCATCAAGTTGTAACTAAATATTCTAAGTTTCTAGGCCAGGCTCAACCATCAACTGCACCCACAAATTCATTGGTTCAAACACATGGAGTCGATGGGAGTTTAATTTACAGTAGAATACAGACAGATCTCTATCTTATCTCATCATGTTACCAGGTTTACATCTTAGCAGTTGTCTATAGTTTGATCTGGCTAAATTTACTGGAGCAGCTTCAGTACTGACTTTTTGTTCACAGAGTAATTAGATTACTGTCATAAATAACATGCTTGGGTGTGGAATAGCTGTCTGCACATTCTCTGCCAAGAAACTTGCTTCATAGACATTAGATCCTTCTCTTTGTCTTGGGTAAGAAGGCTAACGTTAGGAAAGGAAAACAACTGGCTTTCAATGAGCATAATGTCCTGTTGTGGCTCCCTGGGAGCTTGCAGAACTTCATCTCACTCATCGAAGAGACTAAAGATAATTTTGCCTCCATTTGTGCTGTTTTCCAGGATTTTTTTCAAATGCTTATAATAGCATTTTTCAGTGTCAGTAGGATTTCCTGCAAGATTTGAATCCAGAATTTTAGGGAATCTATTTTTCTACATGGCCTGCAAAGCTTTAGACATCTTAGAACAGAATTCTTATATGAGAAAGTCCCCTTCTTATTGAACAGATCCAGTGGTAGTGTGCATTCATAGCCATGTTCTTATTAAAGAAGCGACCAAGTCTCCCGCTTTTTAGCAGCGTGAGACAATGATGTATGCTTTTTGTCATGCACATCGCCAGCTGCCAAGCTGTGGTGAGTTACATACCTACAGTGGAGTACCACAGACGTCCCTGCAGGCAGAGTATGGCCTCAATGGCCACACAACTGGTGATTGCTCTACACAAATACAAGAGTTCAGTGCGCTACAAGAAGGAATATAGTGTTGGCAGTTACAAAAAAAAAAATCACATTTTAATTATAAGCTGTACACTTGCAATCAGGAAGCGCTAGAAAAACAGTTTAGAATTCTAGTTTTGTCCTTTTTCAGGACAGAACTGTACTTAAACAACCACAGCTAATCATGAAGAATCTCCAGGTAGATCTCCTCCACCAATTCACAATTTTCTGTATGGGTGCCTTTGTTCAGGGAAGGCAGCAACCCTTTCCCACACCATGCTCCCACCTATGTTCTTCTCCTGTTCCCCCAGACAGGCATTTCCTGATATCCCGTGACTTGTCTGCTCCCCTTTTCCAGCCTGGATGGACCTGCAGTACTGCGCTGGATTCTGGCGCATGCGTGTGTGTTCCTGTGCAGGGCTGTGAGGGGGGCAGACTCTCAGGGCAGTGTAGCGGGTTCAAGCTGCATGCTTGTCAGGGGTGTCCTGCTATCCTAAAGTTACCATTCTGAGTCTGTGCAAGCAGAGTGACACTGCTGGGATGTTCAAGAACGTGAGAGCAAGCCCTGGTATTTCACTTCTTAGGGACCTCAGTGACTTCTCCAAGGACCCAGACTTAGCACAGTGTATTTAGGCCCTTAAAAGCAGGTATACAGGCAGGAAGAGGCAGTTCTCTGTGGGTTGGGAGAAGTGGTTGCATTTGCCCTTCACTGCAGGTAGGCATCTTGCTGACCAAAACTGCCCATGAAAACATTAGAGGGTTGTTTGTGGTTTTCTGTAGTCTTTTGTCAAATTGCATAGTACTTAAAATTTTTAAGGTGAGATAAAAATACAGTTTACCAGTCAAGTAATTTTTAAATACTTTAAAAACATATGGCTCTTATCATTTAATATTTTTGTGGGGGTGGATTTCTGTATTTAATCAAACTTGGAGTAATAAAAAATTGCTATATCCGTTCTCCTGATGATCTCCTGGGACATAACCAATATTCTCTTGGGTTCAAATGGACTTCCCTTTATTTTTTTTCAGATTTGCTATTTAATAAAATAAGTCTTTGGAAAAAAAAAAAAAAAGCCTTATCATTTAGTTAATTAAATAGTATAGACATAAGCCTTAAAATGATTGCCATTTTGAAACCGTTTTTTTAATGACAGAAAGCATTAGTACTTGGAGACATGAATGTAAATTTAATAAGGTTTTAGATGAATTGTGTATATAAAGCCTTTAAAACATATAATGATCTGGTTCAAATTGCTTTGTGGGAAAAATACAGGAAAAATACTGAGGGAAGAATTGTGCTGTGCTATATAAACCGATGCTTTTAAATTTTTATTATTGCTTTTGCATGTGCAATAGGAGACAAATAAAAACTTGAAATCACCTAGAGAGAATGCA